CAGATCTTCCCTCCAAACTTGCCCACCCCACACTCACACAGATCTTCCCTCCAAACTCCCCCACCCCACACTCACACAGATCTTCCCTCCAAACTCCCCCCGACCCCCACTCACACAGAACTTTCCTCCTCCAAACTCCCCCCATGCCACACTCACACAGATCTTCCCTCCAAACTCCCCCCACGCCACACTCACATAGATCTTCCCTCCTCCAAACTCCGGCCACCCCACACTCACACAGATCTTCCCTCCAAACTCCCCCACCCCACACTCACACAGATCTTCCCTCCAAACTCCCCCCACCCCACACTCACACAGATCTTTCCTCCAAATTTCCTCCACCCCACACTCATTACTTTATCCTAGCTCCCAACTCCTCCAGCAGCCATTCCCTGGGAGCCCTCAGGCCACTCTGGCCAGGGAAGTAGGGAGGCTAGCTGTAGATCTTCACCTCTCAGTTCCTCCAAACCCAATCTCCCCATCTTATTTATGTCCAGCTGTGTAACAGACTACCTGCAGCAGCCTCCCTCCCCACTCCACTTCTGAGTAGATGACACAGATCTTCCCCTGCAACCCCTCCCCCCTACTGCTTTGTCCCAGCCCTAACTCTAACAGGTTTTCCCTGGGAACACATGGGCCACTTTAGCCAGCAAAGCAGCTGGGCTAACTGCAGATCTTCACCTCTTCCTCCATCCCTCCAAGTGCAATCCCCAAGTCTCATCTCAACCTCTGTAGCTAACAAGCTGCGGTGGTGCCTCTCCTCACTCTCTGCCCCCGTTCCCCAGGGACTAAGCAGACCCTGGTAGAACACTCTGCTTTCCTCCTTCCTGTGAACACACTCAGCCACCTCAATCTAGCAAATGTCCATTCCTAAGGGAAAGCTTCCAATACCTAGAAACACATTTTACCTGGAACCCACATGGACATACCTATCAGGATCCCAGAAGAATACTCCTACTATACAACACACAGCCATCACACTCTCCTAAAAACCAGAGGAAACAGAAACCAAGAAACAAAACACTCCCCTAAGAAAGATAGATACCAGCACCTAGAATTACAATCTTCTCAAATCCGATGCCTAGACATCAGCAAAAAAACACAATCAATAAAGCCAGGATAATATGGCTTCACTAGAGCCCAGCAACCCGATCTCAGCAGGCCCTAAGTATGGCAACAGAGCTGAAGCAGGAGACAAAGACCATAATCAGCCTTCATGAGAATGATAGAAGTCCTTAAAGAGGAAATGAGTAAATCTCTTAGGGAAATCTATGAAAATTCAAGCAGTGGAAGGAAACCAATAAAACCACTCAAGACTTCAAAGTAGAAATAGACTCAATAAAGAAAACTCAAACTGAGGGGAATCTGGAAATGAAAAATTTAGTAACTTGAATAGGAACCTCAGAGTCCAGCTTCATCAGTACAATAAATGGAAGAGAGAATCTCAAGTATTGAAGACATGATAGAAGAAATGGATACCTCAGCCAAAGAAAATGTTAAATCTAAAAAACTCTTAGCACAAAACATCTCGGAAATCTGGGACACTATGAAAAGACCAAATATAAGAATAATAGAAATAGAGGAAGGAGAAGAAACACAGGTCAAAGGCACAGAAAATATTTTCAACAAGATTATAGAAGAAAATTTCCCTAACCTAAAGAAGGTATAAGAAGCATATAAAACACCAAATAGACTGTACCAGAACAAAAGATTCCCTTAGCACATAATAATTCAAACCCTAAACATATAGAACAAAGAAAGAATATTAAAATCTGCAAGGTAAAAGGCCAAATAACATATAAAGGCAGACTTATTAGAGTACTACCTGACTTCTCAATGGAGACTCTAAAAGCCAGCAGGGCCTGGACAGATTCACTGCAGACTCTAAGAGACCACAAATACCCACCCACACTACTACATCTACCAAAACTTTCAATCACCATAAATGAAGAAAATAAGACATTTCATGATAAAACTAAATTTAATCAATGGTTACCTAAAAATCTAGCCCTACAAAAGGCACTAGAAGGAAAAACTCCAACCTAAAGAGTTTAACCACATCCAAGAAAACACAAGAAATAATCTCAGACAGCAAATTAGAAGGGAAACACACACACACACACACACACACACACACACACACACACACATCACCACTACCACCACCACCAAAAACAACAACAAAAAGGAATCAACAAATAATGCTCATTGATAACTCTCAACATTAGTGGCCTCAATTCCCCAATAAGAAGACACAGACTAATAGAATGGATGTGAAAATGGGATCCATTCTTCTTTTGCATCCAAGGAACACATCTAAACTTGAAGACAGACATCAGTTCTGGTAAAAGGCTGGAAAAAGATATTCCAAGCTAATAAACCTAAGAAGCAAGCTGGTGTAACCATCTTAATATCTAACAAAATAGACTTCAAACAAAATCTAATCAGAAGAGGTAGGGAAGGACACTACACACTCATCAAAGGAAAAATCCATCATGAGGACATTGCAATTCTTAACATCTATGCCCAAACCACAAGGGCACCAAGTTTATAAAAGAAACAAGACTACAGTTTAAATCACATATTGACCCTCACACAATACCCGACTCACATCAATAGACAGTCATCCAGGCAAAAGCTAAACAGAAAAATGCTTAAGCTAGCTGCTGTTAT